GATCATTTGAAGCAACTTCTTCTTTTACAAAAATTTTCTCCGAGGCACCGTTAACGAGTTATTAACGAAAAATAGTAACCAATAAGAATCGAGTACGGCTGACGCGAGGCGGCCCAGCCAACCAGCGCACGAAGCCCAGTTCCGCTCATTGGCTCGGTCGCCTCGCGCCAGCTGAGCTCGCCTCTCATTGGTCTCTGTTTTTCGTTAATAACTCATTAATGGTGCTACGGCGAAAATTTTTCTAAAGGAAAAAGTTGCTTCAAATGACCTGAGGAACCTGTCACTTTCGGATTGCGAGACATTTTTGGGACATCCTGTATATTCTTTAACATTTCAAAATAGAAAATGTCTTTTTTCTGTTACATTTTGTCGACTTTTAATGAAATGGTACATGTTATTCTTTGTGAATCTCACCGTCGACGGCGCGCAGTCTAGAATTTTTCTCTTCGATTTAGAACGAAAAATAGAAAGAAATTTTCTTCGTAATAGTATTACGAGTTTAGTTCGTACGACGCTTTCTTCTTCTAAGAAATTATTAGAATCTATTATATTCTAATTATTCTAAATGCGAAAAAGATGGTAAGGCAACGAATTGAAACCAGCCTTAGGACTTCGCAGACCGGAATCACGCCAGATGCATTTAAATTCCACCGCGACTGAACTTACCGCCTCGCCGCAGTCGAGGTCCAGAAGATACACAGCGCACCTCTCGCACTTGAGCAGCTCTTTCGCCTCGGTCATGATCTTGGTGACGAGGCACTCGAGGTTGTTCTGTTCCTCGAATATGTTTCTCGCCAGGTTCAGAAGTATCTGGTTCCTTCTGTACTCCTGCACGGACAGCTCGAACAGCTGCGCGTTCTGTATACCGATCCCGCAGAACGTCAGGTACCTGATACAATCGATTTCACAATCGGTTTTTGATAAGCCAGCAACCCCATAATCATTGGACTCTAATCATTGGACGGATTTTATGCATTTATAAGAAAAATGGATAAGTCAAAATTCGAAACAATGGAAATATTAAAAGAATTTCAGGACAAATATTATTTCCAATTCGTATTTGCAATTATTACAGAAACAACGAATTTTCTATTTGACTCGTGTCTGTTGCAATCGACGATGATCATTTCTCTTTCGCACGAAAATTCGCGGCCCAATTTGCTTCGAAGTTCAACCAAGTTACGTTCGACTCGCGATCAGCGAACCTTTGAAACACCTCGACGTCCCTGTCGGTGAACTCGTTGCTGCCGTTGGTCTTGTTGATGATCTGGGCGACCCCTATCACGTCGCCCTCGTAGTTGCAGATGGGCATCGAGAGGATCAAGGTCGTCTTGTAGCCCGTGCGCATGTCGATGGTGCTGTTGAATCTGGGATCCTGAGGAACACATTCGAATGTTGATCTTATCACCTTAGGCAACAAGACAGCGAACCGTTTCGATCGTGTAGATCGTGCGGACCTTGTAGGCATCCTTGATGTTGATGATCTCCTTAGTCTGGGCGACGTAGCCAGCGATCCCGACGCCGAACGGGATCTTGATCTCCTCGTTCTTCGCCTTGCGAATCGCTTCATCGAGCTCGGTCTCCTGGGTCACGTCGAACAGCTTAGCTACCAGGTATCTGTCTTCCAGAGGTCCTTTCGCTAGGAAAAGGCTGCCTCGATCGGCGTGGGTCAGCAGGCCGACGTTCACCAGGATCTTGTGGCAGAGCACGTTGATGTCCAGCTCGTTCGCCACGTCCCTGATCAGCTCCATGAACAGGTCGCTCTCGTCTAGCCTGTTCAGCTCCTCTCGGCGTCCCACCAGCGACGAGTAGGTCCTGGAAGAGCCACCGACGAATTTAAGACGACCAAATCGCGGAGAGTCGTTGAAATCGGAATGATTTCAATTCTGAATGATACATCAATTTTGTTACATTTTATCGACGTTTACTGAGACAATAAATCTTGTTCTCCATGAGCCAGCATATCTTCCCTTCGATTTAGAACGAGGGAATAAAATGGAGTTTTCTTTCATAATAGAACTACGCGTCGTATGAGCCTGAATCCTATTTAAAAAATTCAAGAAGAATGATAATACGCGGCACTGAAAACGAAGGAGCGATTTTTATTAGAATGAAAATGTAAAAAGCTAGGATTTAGACTCGTACGACGCGTAGTTCTATTATTACGAAGAAAACTCCGTTTTATATTTTGATCTAGATCGCGAGGAACGATGTTAGACTGCACGCCGACCGCAAGGTTCCTGGAGAACAAGGTTCATTATTTCGATAAACGTCGATAAAATGTTACAAAAAAATGATGTATTTATTTTGAAACATCAAAGAATATGTATGGAGAAGTGAGGAGAAGTTTCATCGATGTTCTACGTCACAGAAAAATTGCCGAAAATCCTCTTTATTAGAACGATTTACTCGAGGCTCGCCCCTTTTTAAGGGGTTTCGATCATGGCGGAGCTAACACACCTATTGGGGCTCTTGCTCCTCTTCGCTGGCGAACTGGAGTCCAGCCACGTTTGGAAGATATCGGATGTCACGCTGTTCCGCTTGCTCCGTGTCAGAGGATTCTCTTCCTGGTGCGTGGCCCTCACCGGCGATTTGCTTTGGACCACGCTCGGCACGCCTTGGAGACGCTGTCGAAGCTCGTGGCTCGCGTTCTCGCGGAGCCAGGCCTCGACCGCCTCTGGATGCGCCTCTAGATACCTATCGTCCAAAAATACTCGGTCTGTACTGATATATCCATAGAAAATATTATGCTGGCCCGGTTCTTCTATTTCCGTGGTGGCCGGCCGTCTCACAACGGTCGACGTCCGATCGAATTCTCGAAAATCAATCGGACGCGGACAGCTTTGTGTCCAGGGGACACGGATCTTTCGTACCGGGCGACGAACTTGTACAGGACGATGCAAATGCGCGACACCCGGGGTCGGATCGAGCTCTGGGAACTTTCTCAGACCGATGCAAATACCTTGCGCTTGCCGTTGAAGTTCTACGGATACCTTGTACCGGCTGTTGAACCTCTACGGGGCGATGCAAATGGCTTGTTTAAGCCATTGAACCACCGGAGACCGGTACGAGCACTTTGCATCGGCTGTACAACTTCTACAGGCTGGTAGAAATATCTGATATCGGTCATTGAACTTCTACAGGTCGACGCAAGTGTCTTCTATCGGTCGTTGAACTTCTAAGAGCGGTACAAGTACGGCAAATTCTCCCTAATTTTACTTCGGCTTGTTAACAAAAACGGACATTTTCGAGCCTTGCACCTCGTTTTTATAATTGTCGATAATCGGCAACTGTGAAACTGAGCCGCGAGACTCGAGTTAAAATAATCTACCCAAATTGTCCGCTTTTGTTTACAAGCTGAAAGAAAATTGGGGAGAATTTACTATACGTATGTACCTTGGATCTGCCATTGAACTTCCAGGGGCTGCTATAAATACCTTCTATCGGCTATCGAACCTCTACGGGTTGATTAGAGTGCCTTGTACCGGTTATCGAACTGTCACAGGTTGGTATAAATATTTTGAATTTTCCATTGAATTTCTACCGGTTCAATTATAGTAAATTCTCCTTAATCTTCCTTCGGCTTGTAAAGAAGAATGAACAATTTGGAAAGAGAAGATACAATTGTTCGAGCCTCGCGGCTCATTTTTAGTAGCAGACTAGTAAACTTTACAGGCTAATGCAAGTAGCTCGTAGCAGCTATTATATTTCTACAGACTAATTCAAAACTATTGTACTTAGTTTTAATCTGGTGATGGGCTTTTGCATGGTGACACAAATATTTAGTAGTGAGCTGGAGGCTTCTACAAGCTGGTACAAATATATTAGGCTAGTCACTAAACGTCTACAGGCTAGTTCAGATCTATTGTGCTTAGTTTAAACCTGGTTATAGACTTTTGCATGGTGACACAACTATTTAGTAGCAGCCTACAACTTTTAAAGATTAATTCGGATCTATTGTAAACAATTTAGACACGATATTGAACCCAAACATGGCGCTATAAATATTCTAAAAACTTCTAGAGGTTGACACAAATATTTCGAACTAATCATCGAACTTCCACAGGTCGATTAAAATTTGGTGTACCCAGTTTAGCTCTGGTTATGAGTGATTGAAAGGTGGCACGGATATTTGACACCGAGTTACGAACTTGCACAGATGAATTCCTACCTTCCAACCTTCTCCATCGTCAGGCCATCATCTTCGTCGTACTCGTGTATCGTCTCCTGGCAGGTGATCCTCTTCGTTCTACAGAATCTGGCTATGTCACCGTCTTTGACTTCAGTCTTGCTGCTTGGACTTAAAGGTAATTTTGATTTTTCTTGCGCGGACGCCTCCATTTTGTCGGGATCCTTAGGTTCCTCGGATTCCTCGGATTCCTCAGGGTTCGGAGAGCACACCAGCTGGCACTCGCTCCTCTCTGCCGACTTCGAGGACATCGGTTTCGTCGAAATTTTCATCGTACTGAAGTTCTCTATGTTGTCATTGTGATTCACCTGTCGGGCAGGTTGCATCGCAATTTTCATTCATCGTTTTAACGTGTCCGAGAAATAGTCGCGCAACGAATTATAGGACAATAATTCAACCAGTCTTGTTTCAATCTTCGAATTGACAAAATATATTGTATTTGGATTGTTTCATTTTAAAGAAATACATTTTCCAACGGTATAACATATGGAAGCAAGTATTCTGACACTTTTTAAAACGGAGTAACTTTTTAAAAAACTGGTACAAATGACATGAATTTCTTTGAGGTGTTACAGGGGCTAATTTACTGTGGAGTTACAGTTATTACAGCAATTACAGTTTCCAAAAAGTTATTGCGTTTTAAAAGATGCTCGAATCCTTTTTTTTCCAAGGAATATCTTCAGAAACAGAAAATTAAGAAATCTTCAGCCTGGAGAATTTAGTTGTATCATAGAATTTTTTTACTAATTCATTGTTTTCTTATTATCGAAAAGCTTTTAAAGTAGTACATTAAAAATTGTACGTTCTAGTTGCAACGATATTTTCATGTCTGAGCGATATTTATTTGAAACAAAAGTTCGTAGTACGAAGTCCGGGAAATGAGAGGTTCCTGAGGTCATTCGAAGTAACTTTTTCCTTTACAAAAATTTTCTCCGAGGCATCGTTCGCGAGTTATTAACAAAAAAATACTGACCAATGAGAGGCGAGCTTGGCTGGCGCAAGGCGGCCGAACTAACGAGTGAGCGAAACCCAGTTACGCTCATTGGCTCGGCCGCCTCGTGCCAGCCGAGCTCGCCTCTCATTGGTCAGTATTTTTTTGTTAATAACTCGCGAACGATGCCTCGGAGAAAATTTTTGTAAAGGAAAAAGTTACTTCAAATGACTTCAGGAACCCTTCATTTCTCGGAAGTACCATAATTTTGGGGCACCCTGATCATTGTAATGTACGCTTGATTTGTTTGTTCAAAAGCTTTTCGTCAGTGACGAATATGATTTTGATCGGCCTGCGCCATTTTTTGGGAGATCGAGCTAGCCTGTTCCGAGTAAATATCGTTTAGAATTTTTCGGCCAGTTCGGCCACGAAATTCGTACCTCTGCATCTTTCGGCTCCGGCAACTTCTCGTCCACTTCGTCCTCAGACTCCATATCATCTTAGGTCTGAATTAATTACCATTGAGAGCAATGGTAGGATACGTCTCCGCTTATAACTCGCGGAAGTTGAGAACGAGGTGAGGACACTTCACATTGTGCTCGCGCCGCTTTGTTAAACTTTACGTACCTTCTGAGCTGTGCAACTCTCGGAACTCCGGGCCTGGAATAAGTATTCGTTTCGGTGAACTTGCTCCAGCTAAATGACGGAATTTCGCGGAGGGAATTCAATGTTTTTTCTACCCCGCTCGAAAAAAAAGTATTACCCGTCGACGAACAAAATAGTTCACGGAAGCCCCGCGATAAGTTTATTTAGAATCGTACTCTCCTAGGAGCCGTTTGCATTGCTCTCGGCGACCCATTGAACCATTCGAGATCGATTTGTTGGAATTGATTGCAACAAGTTTCATTACCAGTCGCGAAGTTACCTGTCTCGGCACGTGTAATTTATTCACGCACTCGGCGACAAGTTAATAGGTCAGCGCGATAATAAGGGCGTACAAACAGCTCGGACAAATAAATGAGCCGAGCGGGAAACTTCCCGTAGCACAAAAATTCGCCGACCAAATTGGCAGCTTGATGCGTTAAAAACTGGAACGCGGTAAGCCGCAATTTATTTATCGCCGAACTGCGAATTTTGTTCGTTCGTGGGGCTGAGGTGAAAACAGCGAAAAGAGTTTGAAAATACTGCTTTCATTGTCGTCGATTATTTCGAATTCTTTTAAGCTTCTCGCTGTTTCGAAAATCACCCATTCATTTGTAAAATCATAATAAATCGGGAAATCTCTAATAGGATTAGTGCCATAACGATGGCTTTATAACCACGAAATTACTGTATCGATTTGAATCTCTCGCCATTTTTCTTACAATTTATGCTCGAATTAAGAAATTTATTCAGCCATTTCTCGTGAAAGAGTCTTCATAATTTCACTAATTTTAAAAAAATATAAAACCGGTGTGTTTATTATTATAATATAATTATTACTATAATATAATATATTATAATATAATATAATTATTATTATAATATAATATATTATAATATAATATAATTATTACTATAATATAATATAATATATTATAATATAAT